TTTCAATATTCTCCAGATACATAATATCACGAAGTATTCCCAATGGCAAGCATATAAATACAATGTTATATTAGAAAATCCTTAAAACATTTTTGCTTTCACGAGAGGTCCGGTTTCCTCTTAAGTACCTTACATCACACGCCAGCAGAACGCGAGAACATTTGTAAAAATTTAAAAAGTTTAGTCAATTACCAGTGAACAAGCCTTTAAACAATTTTGTAAGCAAACCAGTAAATGAAAAAAAAAAAAAAGAAAAAACTTTAAAACCGAAAAGTATTAGTAAGCCAAATTCCGCTGAAGTTAAAATAATTAGAGAAATATTCAATATTTTTCCTTGAATATTTTTAGACTTACTAATAAAATAAAATGTACTCTGTACTTATATAATTTTATTTTCTGTTTTTCTGTTTCAGGGCTTGTCAACAATTATTAAAAATTCTTTTATTGTTGTTAACTTTTTCTTTTTAGATACAATTAGTAGTCATTAATTCAATATAATAGCAGTCCCTACTCGACACACGTTCTGCTTGAAGATCTTCGATTCGTTTGGTGGTGGTCAATTGTATGGAAAGTATTTTTATAAAGTAATTTTTAATATAATACCTTTTGAAATTATAATAATTCTACTTTATGTAATTTTTATGCTAATAATGGTGGGAGTTTTTCCAGGTCTTTCTCTCACCTGTAAAGCAAATGCGCCATCTCAGTTTTCTGAAAATCGCCCCCAAAGTGTATCCAGTTTATATTAACTTAATAAATATTTTAAGTCTCAACATGATGATCTAAAAAAATGGTACCTACTGTTTTTTTTTAATAAATAATATTTAGTCGTAATTTGATTTTATTTTCCTTCTCATAAGATAAATAAATATCGTCGAAGGAGACCTTAAACTAATGGTATGAAGAGTCAAATGGTACCTATCATTTGAAAGGTTTGCAAATCGATGGAGAGATAATTAAAACCTTTGAAATTGTGTATGTAGTATGTATCACTAGACGGTACCCCATGGATAATATTAAAAAACTACTTACTCTAGACAGAACGTTAAAAATGGATATTATTATTGTAAGAAAACAAACTGTCGTGTTTTTAAAGAAATTCCATGTTTTTTTTTGTTTTTTTTCGTTAGAACATCCTATATATCTGAATGTTATGTTGATAAAAAATATAACGCATTTAACACAAAAGTATAACTACAACTAACAAATTTCCAAAATAAGAATACTAATTTAAATAAATAAAATGATTCTAACTTACAAGATTCATAATATATTTAAAAATGGGCGCCTAACTACTGAAAGATGTGTTGACAGATGACATTTCTTCGTCGAGAATCTGGCAACACCATTTTCCATTTGCTCAGCATTTAGCCGCTCCTCTTTCCTCTTTATTAGTAGATTCTGGTTGCACTGTTGCCACAACTCTAGCAATACGAAAAGTGGGTACCCGATTTTACCCTACTAAGTTTTTTAATAATTTCTAGTCATAAACTTAAACAACTAAGAGATGGATTTTAAGAGTGGGAGAAGTAATGTCACTTTTTAAATGGTATGTCATAATATAGTACCTCATCAGATTTAACAGAATACCAGAGGATTGGGAACCAAATTGTTTTGTCACGTTAATATTAATAAATCAATTGTACCCATTCAAAATCGATAACTAAAAATAACTTTAAAACGATGTCATTTTTCATTTGATCCCTATTATCCGTAAGAATAAATTATTCAAAATGGCGCCCAACTGTCATTTTGAAATTTTGACCCTGAAAAATAACTCGCCTTTTGGGCTTCACTGTAGGTATGTAACAATAATTGGAGAATTCTTGGCCTAAAATATGAAGATTTAACGTAAAGCACTTAGATGAAATATTTTCTTAAAACGACATGGGTTTTTTAATTTAAAAAATTATTTTGAACAATTTTGCAGAAGTTACTCTATAACATATATTAGCATGTTAAGAAAGAAAGTTTCTATTACCTGAAACGTATGAGAGGGACAGAGGAAGCGTATCACCCTCTAAAATCTACGCCACTGCCCATACAGCCCACATTGTTTCAGAAATATTTCAAACGTTTCAAACATAGAACATTTCAAGCACAAGTTAAAAATGTTTCATAAACATGGTATACATGTTACACGAAAGGTTACTAAACGGGTTATGTTGTAAAAGGCCAACACTTAATGAAGAATTTCCGATTTGTAAGAGGATCAAGATGGGATATGTAGTTTTGTACTTATAGTACTTGTAGTTATTTTATTTCATCCTTTATCCAGCCAGAGACAACCCTATATTCTAAATAATTATAGATTTGAGTTGTCAGTTTTTGTCATTTCCTTTTTTTTTTGTTATTTATGCGTTGTGCTATTGTTATATGGGAAGCAGAATAGGCAGAATATGTCTTTAGAAATTGAGGCGAGTATTACAATGCTTGTTGAGGTTAGGTTTATTAACTTTATCTTTTCTCTGAGACGAGTGACGCCATTTCGTTTATCAAATTTATAGGCATTTTATATTTTTATTTCTCTATTTCTCTATTTTATTTTTCTATTTAAATATAACCTACATTTGCTGTCCCTCCACCAGTTTTATTTATTACTTCTACAGCTGATTGCAAAGTAGAGGTTCATGTTTTGTGTAGGCATGAGTATTGTTTGTTTTATTATAGTCAATTTAAAACAATTTGAATAGTCCTTTTTTAATTACCTATAATTTAAAGAAATTGGTGAAAATGAAGCGATTCTCCAGATTTGGGAATGTGCCAGTAAAAGTAATATACAAGTTATTCAACGTTTCCAAAATAAAGTATTAAGAAACATTGTCGATGCACCCTGGTACTGCTATAATACTGATCTTCATAAGGACCTTAAAGTGGAGACTGTTAAAAATACAATACAAAAATGTGCCAGTAGTCACCAACAACGACTGCACCAACATGGAAACCTTGAGATTATCCAGCTCCTCAATAATTCCAATCTAATAAGAAGACTCAAGAGAACCAAGTCTTTTGAGTTAGTTCAGTGATGTTAAAGCAGAGTATAGTGCGGTTAAGTGTTATACGTTAACGGTAGTGTAACTAAATAGTTAGACTCTAAGGTATACTAGTGAGTAGAATATTAGTTTATGAAGTTTTTCATCCCTTGATAAGTTAGATTAGAATAAAATTGCTAATTGATCTTAATGATCAGAATGAAATAATCGTAAATTTTTCTTTACTTGGGACATTTAATTGTTTCAGATTAGTGCATTTAAAGGAATTTGTGGAAATGAAGCGTTTCGCCTTTATATTTTATGAAATAATTTTTAAAAATTATTTATTTGTTTGTTTAAAAATCAATGTTTGAGTTTTGTGTATTTTAAATAAACATATGAATAAATGTCTTTTTTAGTCTAATAATTTTTTGAAAAAAAAAGCTAGAAATATTACTATTTAATATTTCTAAAAGATATTTAAAGGACATTTTTAAGTTTCAGGTACATTTCAGAAATGTTTCGTAATTTTTATACAACATTACAAATGTTTCAACGTAATATTTTTTAAATATTTCCGAAATGTGTTTGTGCTGTATGAGTGGCGTAATTGTCGTTTATTTTTAATTATTGCAAATAAAATAATAATATACCTACTGCTTGTTATAAAAATAAATATAAATTTTAGCTTTTACTAAAATTATTTTCATTCTACTCCTTTCATACGATCTAAACATTTCTCTTAATTGTGTCATTTGTGTCTTCAAATCATTTATCGCCATTAGGCTTAACAAATTTCCTGTTTTCATAATCAAAGTTATCATTACTTTCAATTTTTAAATTAAAAGTAATAATGATTTAGAGAAATTGTTGGCTCTTAATCATTATTCTAAATTTATACTATAGTTCTTTATGTTAAACTAATATTACTTTCTCAAAAATAATTGTGAATATTCTGCTTCTAAGAAAGGTCTGAATAAAGAGCGTTAACAATCCTATAATTATGTCAGTGATGAATTCCTTCTTGTTTTCTCAACATTTTAGTGCATGATGAGGTGTTTATATAACAAGGCCAATAAATGTTAATGATCTTGCTAAAAGAATATGGACCGAAATAAGATATATATCACTTAGAGTTAGTTATACAGGGTTTACCCGAAATACTGGTACGTTTTCACTCGAAATCACCGAAGTTACTACTAATTTTTTAGAAATTTCCGAAATCATCAACGAACATCATGGTCGAAATCATCACCGAAATCACTTCAAAATCAGTGAGTCGGTGAGTGGAAAAAGGATAATATTTCAAAATCTTAACGATTGGGAAATTAAAAAAAACTGATTTACAGCCTTATTTTTGGTGTAACAGAAAAATAATCTATTATTAACTTGTAGTGCTATATAAAAGTATTCTAGTAATAAATTCGAATTTTTTTTATTAATTCATTTACCTGAGTTAAGGAGGTTTTAATATTTGGACTATTACCCTTTCTCCACTCAAAATAAGGAAGTATTATAAAAATACCAAAGTTTTTAACAAATTTTTATTTTTTATCGAAAAAAGAACTTGTTTTTACACTAAAATTATAAGAAACATTTTCCTCTCAAACTTGGCATCGTATATCAATCTTCATCGTCACCATCACCGTACACCTTCTGCAGTGGGCCAAATGAGTTTTTCTTCGAAGAATGGAAGAAAGTCTTCAGGTATGTATTGCAAAATATTTGAAGTATCTTCAATCTTTTTTTTTTATTGGGACTCTTCTTATATATACCCTCGTACTAGGTAGAGGCACGTCGTGAACATTACTCAATTTAAATTTGTTGACACAGAAATGGTCTATGTATTCACCACACTGTATATATCCTCTTTCTGCCTGTTTGAAGACACTGTGTCTGTACTTACTAATAATAAAAGGTACTTTGACGAATGATCCAGTAGGAGGCGTACTTGTACAGGTTTTTTTTTAAATAATGAGGCCACCAGTTTTTAAAGTCTAGTATATGTTCATGATTAATATCTCTTACCATGTATTTAGGATGAGTTGTCTTAGCATTGCATATAATTTCCAGATGAATAAATTCGATCATGTTTACGTACTCCACGTTTGACCACACCAAAAGTCCTGTCACAAGGCATAAAACTATAACCCCTAACAGGATAGTATAGGTTAAACTCTTTGAAACGACCCCTCATTGTTAGAGTAAGGAACAATCTCGTAAGAGTGTGGTTGTGGTTTTATTCACCGCACGCATTATAAAAAATATGAAGAATGTCTCCTTCCTTTGGAACAGACTTTTCAATAAAATCTAGTACAAAAGTGCAAACCTTGTTAGGCCCTTTCTTGCATTCTCCTTTCGGATAGTTATAAAATATAGACGTTCGAGTTTTGAAGTCTTGAATATTGAACACATAATACCATAGTTTTCTCAAGTAAAACATCTCCTGCACAGACATTAAGGGCAGAGGCAAATTTTGCATACAGTCAAATCCGAGAATACCGATCAAGGAGAAGCGACAGCTTGGTGTTTTCAGTGTATCGTTTTATAACGCGCATGTGCGAAAATAAGTTGTGTATCACTCAAAATGATGTGATAACATAGACATAGACAGATATGTCAAAGTCAGTCCAAGTTGTATTTAGTACGTGAGCAATGTTAAGTGATATTTTTTGGTGTTTGTTTTGTGTAGTAATAAGATAAAGATTTTTTACACACTTAGGTAGTCTAATACAGATATAAAATGTGCCAAAAAAGTTATTAGGAAACTAAGAATTTTATCAAATGTATAAATATTAAGTATAATGATTTAATCATTTTTGACATTTTATTTTTTATATGTAGGTATTGGATTTTCTGAAATATTATGTTTGTCTTTTTTTAAATAAATTTAATAAACAATGAACTGCAGATTTTGTTTATTTTATTTTGAAATTATATTCAAAAAAATATAATAAATGCACGTGTTTTAATTAGGAATGGTCAAAGTGGGCGAAATCCCTTTATTATGGCTAAATTGTAAGTTACAATTATGTCAATATAAAGATCGGTATTCTCGGGTCAAATACTATTCCACTAACTTTTGGGTCAGTTTTGCCCAATTTTTGCACGCTGTTCAGCTTGTTATAAAACTTCGTTGCCCTTCGTTTATGCACCATGTGTTCAGCAGCAGCGACACGTTTTGCGCCATCATTTAAAAAAGTTGATTTGATCTTGGTATTTAACTCTAGAACAAACATCTACCTGTGGTCGGCCAAATTTGTAGTTAAAATTTTCTTTGAAATATTTCCAAGAATAGGCTATGCATTTTCGTCGTTGTCAACGCTGCTTCAAGGTAAGTTATAGGCTTAGAACTATAATGAGAAATGTGCGTTGGAAATGATTTAATGTGATGATGTATTTCATCAGTAACAGAGGCTGGTATTGCACGTGCTCTGTTAGAATGTCGACCACGACCATCTCTTGGTGATTCGTTTGCATTCAGCAGGTGTGTCGAGCATATACGGCATACTTTAATACGAATATTGCATTGCATAGTGAAATATGTAAAAGAAGAAGGGATTTGTTTTGAGTCTGCTTGGGTAGGACGATGCCTAGGAACGTCATGTCTTTTTATCAGATCCATCAAGTAGGTATCTTTTTCATTTTTTGTTTGCCCATTGTATAAAGACGTGATTATTGCTTATTTATTCTCATTTGAGAAACTGTCCATGCATTTATCACGGCAAGAACAGTATGGACCTGTTGTTTTAGCCTCAACTAAGAGTCCCTTAATATTGACGAATTCTTTCCCCTTGCTCCTGGCCAATTTCTCTTTTCTTTGCTATGTTCTGACTTATTTACTTTACCTTTCTTTCTACTAGGTTCATCAACCTCTTGTTCCTCTAAATCTGACATCTTATTCAAAAAACTATCACATAAAAGGAAGAAAAACTTGCAAATACTCTCACAATAACTGTTCACAAACAATCTACAGGGTGTTTTTTTAATATTGTGAAAAAAATCAGAGGCGTGTCCCTTGGACGAAATGAAACAAAAGAGTTCCTATGAACGTATGTCCTACGCCTCTTAGATTTTGAACTACAGGGTGGTAAAGTTATAAGAAAAAAACTTATTTTTTGCGATACATTTAATACCCCTGTAGATATTTTTTTGAAAATTGGTACGCAGTTTCTATGCATCCAAAGCCATTTTCCGATACACAATTTAAACTTTTACATAAGTTCTTTTTTTATAACTTTACCACCCTGTAGTTCAAAATCTAAGAGGCGTAGGACATATGTTCATAGGAACTTTTTTGCTTCATTTCGTCCAAGGGACACGCCTCTGAATTTTTTCGCAATATTAATAAAACACCCTGTATAATCTAACATAACCTATAATAATCATAAAGTGATTTTAAACCTTAGAACATATATAGTCAGGAAAGAGCATGCCATGTCCCCGTTAATCTAATCGATCTGACGGAAGTGGTAGCCATGTTGTACTATGAATAACTCATCATCATATATGATAAATGATTTCCAAAATTGGTTTATAATTTTAGTGATTAAAATTTGTTAATAAATTGGATATTTATGTGTTAATTTAAACTTTTATCAAGCGTATGTTTTGTAGATATTTTTAAAAAGTGTTTGGTGTTTTAGTATTTATTTAGTATTACTGTTAATTTTAAATTTTCCGCCTTAAAAGACAAACAAGACAATATGGTCAGTTGTTCGTCTTGTGGATATAGCAGCAGAGCTAAAAGTAGAAAGGAATAATCTACATTTCATAAGCAAGTATTTTGTTCTCTCAATTTTCAACCACATTAAAGACTTTTAAAATTTTTAATGTTTTAAATTTGTAAACAAACATGCTTCTGCGATCGCCTGTGCTCATAGGCGTAGTCTCATGGATTATAGGGTATACATACTTTTATTTAAACAATTCTTTTATGCAATTTTAAGATATTTATGAGGTTGTTAAAAGAATGAATTATTGTTCAATTTAGATTTATAAATAGATTGCAAGTAAACAATTTTCATATTTCCTAAAGATTCTAGATTTACAAATTATATAAATTAATCCCAGGTAGACAATTTTCAGATGTCCTAAAAATTTTCAAAAAACAAAGTTATGGCTTGAGTTCATGCAACACATAAATTGTGAGCCAAAATATCTTAATTTTTTGTGTTCACACCATTTTAAAGCAGATTGTTTTGATGGAACCTCAAAACCAAGAATAAGACTTCTACCAACAGCTGTTCCAACAATAAAAGTGGTCCGGTTGAAGTATATAAGCATTGTATTTAGATCAACTAGTAAAACAATACCAATGCAAATTATCTTGGAGGACAATGGACAGTATCAATAGATGGCAGCAAGCTCCATGGTGTCCAAGTCATGTCTTTGATAATTTTGTCGTCTTCGAAACGAACGTAATTTCTCTATTTACTAATAGATGGGCCCATAATCGATTCAGAATATTTGTTTTAAAAATGGAATATACGAGTTTAATTATGCTTGTTAAACATTTATTTACGATTTATTATCATTTTAGAGAATATAAACAATAGTAATTTAAATTTAGCACTCTATTGATATGAATTTAAAAATTAAGAAAATTTTATGTATATAGAATTCTGTACTCAATGATCGAGGAAGTGCTAGCGTTCGGGCTATTTTGATGAATTTCTAACAGATGTCGCGACAGAATTGCCTCCAATGAAACGTCCATACTATCTTCTCTAAATTATCTTATAAAATCTTATAAACATTTTATAGGTAATTTTCAAAATGCATGTACGTTGTGACCTTAGTGGTTTCCCCCTTGAGTTAACCATTTAAAACGAAACAGACAAAATATATGATTCCATATTTATTAAAAAAAATCGTTTGTACACGTCATTAGATTTTTCAAGGGGGGAGAGTTTTTGTTACAATTTTTAATATTGCAACTTTAACCCTCTAGAGCTGGTGAGAGCTATCCTTAAAATTTTAAATGGAACAAAGGGTCGAGTGATACCTATTTTGAAAAAGCGTTCGATTCTCTTTCCAATGACATCTCATTCGTGATCTTCAGTCAGATATTTCGTTTCGTTTTAAATGGTACACTCTGTAGAAAAAGTTATAGATTAGGCTACTTTAAGTAACTAAATGGCAAATAATTGTAGATAAGACGAATAGAAACAAAATTGAGAAAATATGTCATTAAAATATAACTAATAAAAATATAAAAAAACTACATAAGAAATTAAAAGTACCTACAGTTCCAAATAAGGTTGGTTAATTAACAGGCCTTGGATGTAATGGAAAAAAAAAACTAATTAATTACAAAATAAATGAGCGATAAAACAGGTTAATAATTTATAAAAATGATTCTAAAAAATTATTGCTGAACCAAAGATTACTCATACATATAAAAGATTAATTTCTACCTCTAAATAAACATTATTAGAAAAAGTTTCACCCAAATACAATAAATTCTTTCCAATAAAATTAAAATAATTAAAACAAATAAGAAATTAACATAACCCTGAAGTATAATAAATAAGATTTGACGAACATAAAACTTTCCCTTTAATTATACGAAAAGACATAAAATATAATTAATGAGCTTTGGCAAATGTGTAAATTATCATATAATTAAATTACATTTTTAGAAATACCTACCTATGTACCGAGTGTTCATGATTTTGTTTTTTATTTTGTAAAGAATTTGAAAATATTCATCTAATCTTTCTTAGAATCACATAGATTTAAAGTTATTAGATAAAATACAGATGCGACTAGTTTCGGCCCCAAGGGTCCTCTTCAGGCCTGCAATACAAACAGCTTATGGTAAATAGGAAGTTCAGAATTAGTGTTAATAACTTACAAATAATTTGTTAAAATAATAAGGTAAATGTTGGATAACGGGAACCTACTATTTCAACTTTTAAAATTTGAAGCTTGACCAAAAATTCAGTGTAGGATGTTAATTAGCATATTTATATGACTTCCATTTGTGATGATTAAACTTGTTCCAACTTCAATACTTTTCGAAGTATTTTTTTTTAAACTGTACAGGAGGTCCCAGTTACCCCGAAATTTGGGGCAAGTGGGACACCTAGCTTAAGCTCCTCTTCATAAAATAAGAAACTTTGTTGAAGGTAATTGGGTCATACTTTATGATCCTTCAAATTTTGCGTCCAAATTTGGTTTACCTAGTCTTGTGTTTGTGAGAGTAAGATTGTTTCGTAGATTATGATGGCTGTAACGTTTAAAGTTTTTTTAAAGTTGAATGTAAGTAAATACAAATATTTAAGGCAAAAAACATCATTTATTAGTTAATTACCCTAATTCATATCTTTATGCCTATATTTATTCATCAAAGGTACATCAAATGCCCCTGTGGTTCACCATTTTTGGTGATGGTATAATTTTTACTACTTCTGTATTATCGTACCATATCAAATCTTCTATTTTGGACCATCTCCAAGAATTACCAATCTTTTCATACTTTTCCATGCAGGAAACTTTTACTAGATTTTCGTCTCTTTTTTTTAACAAGTCCTGGAAAATACAATCCATTGTACACTACAATTACATAATCCTTTTTTATTGTTACAGATCTAGCAGCTTTGGATTCAGATTCGGATGATTTAAAATCATCAAATTCACTTGCATCATAGATGAATTTTGTAATTTTTTCTTAATATTTTATCTTCTTAGGACTTTTTTAATACGTAAATTATTCGTAGTGCTTGAGCTGTTGACATTTTCATATTTTTCATCTGCTGTAATGTGCTCTTTCCGGACTTTGTTTTGTTTCTCTTACTTTTTCTGTTTTAATGCGTTTTCTGCTTCTTCTTTTGATTGTGGTGTTTATGTCTTTTTGGGAGGTATTCCCTGTATTGACGTAACGAAACAAAATCTTCTCAAAAGAAGTATTACCTGAGGTTTTACCATTTAGAGTCCTTGTAGCTTCAGTATTTTCATCTGCAATTTTTTTTATTTTCGGTATTTTCCTCTTTGTCTTCACCATGAATCTCTTCTGTATTTTCCACCGGATTTTTAGCATTTACAGCTTCCGATCTCTAAGCTCTGTTCTCATTTGCTGCGTCGAGCTCATTTTCTAATTGCCTAATCGGTTTCATATATCTGTAGATCTTCAAGTAAAAATAAAAATAGATTTTTATCAAAGTTTGAAGGATCCACTGGTGTCGTCGCTATTTCTAAATGAGCCTGATCAAATATTCCACATTTTTTAAATCCATTCATCACCACAGATGTTGGAACCGCTTCTTAACATTTATATAGGATGTCAACGAATAGATGTATGGGAATACGTTTTCTTTGGATTGTTTCTGATATTTTATGGACTACATAGATTTATTTACTGCCACATTTAAAAGTTGCAACCTGTGAATATTATGAGGTAATATTTTATTATGTAAATATCATTTTCCTTAGCTGCCTTTATCAAATCGACATTGATGTGACTTGTACGTCCATCATAGATTAATAGAATCGGTCTCTCCTCTAGAACGGAGGTTAAAAAGCATTTTGTAAACCATTTTAAAAATTAGTGAACCTCCATCCAACCTTTCTTTGTGCCACTGTAAGCGTTTTTGTCTGTTTCTTGCTGACTAACCTAGGATGCTACGACATAGTCATATTTGCTAGTGAAAAGTTTAGTAATGTCCTGTGTGATATAGTCCAACGAGGACTAGAACATATCAAAATATGGTGCCGTGAAGTGGGACTTAGTATAAACCCTACAAAAACAACACTAGTAGCCTTTTCAAGGAAAAGAAAACTTAATCTCAAAATAGTTAAATTAGACGGGATAGATATAGAATGGAAAAATGAAGTCAAATATCTAGGCCCAACCTTGGACAAGAAACTTCTCTGGAACATACATAAGAAGGAAG